TGTGAGCAAGTGCAGAAGAAGTGGCAGATGTCTGGGAGAGGCAGCCAGGTGACCACCTGGAAGGCTGGTGGTAGTGTTCGCCAGTCATCCAGGAAGGTGAACGGTTGTGGTAGTGTTTATGTGTATAGTGATCATAGAATGACTGTCTAGGGGATGAGTGCCTTGAGAAGAAGACACTCCTATGATCCTCTTATAGGCTGCATGCACCGACAGCGTTGGAGAGCAAGACAATGTTACTGAGCCCCTCAAAGAGTGGGGAGGAGACAGATCCATGTGTCTAGAATGACCATCACATGGGAATACCTGCCCTGGTGCTAGAGATAGAAGGGACACCGATCTGTGGTGTCTCTTATATGAGGGGAAATTGTTCCTGGTTCCAGAACACTGTGGGACTGGTGACCCAGGTGTCGGTGGCGAAGGTGATGGTGCCGGAGAGAAAGTCAGGGACTACGGGCTAGGGTTCCGGGGCTTATTGGATTTCGTAAGGGCTTTCACCGGTGCCAGTGGTCTGCTGCATGCATCTGGCACTGGAGTAGGAAGCTGAGATGTCGGTTCCAGCTGTCTATCCCAAATTGGTATGGTTGTTAATGCTGGTGCTGATACTGGTGCGGGCGCCAGTGCTGCAGCTGATGTCAGTGCTGGCTGATGAGAGCGCACCTCCACTGTCAGCATCGATGGTGCCTTGTATCGTGCTTTTGGATCCAGGGCAGTCTTACGGCATGTCATCTTCTTTTGAAAGAAGATATGCAAATTTGATGCAAATTTGCATATCTTCTTCTGATCCAGTTTTTGGAAGAGTTTCTTCGGAAAAAAAAACAATCTAGACATGATTCTTTAAAAAAAAAAAAAACCACCCTTTTTTGAAATAATTCTTCTTCCTAAAAAACATGAGGTGTACAGGGTTCTTTAAAAAAAAGGGTGGTTTTTTTTCATGGATTGAGAACTGGTTAACAGACAGGAATCAAAGGGTTTTATGGATTGAGAACTGGTTAACAGACAGGAAACAAAGGGTAGGAATAAATGGTAAATTTTCAGAATGGAGAGGGGTAACTAGTGGTGTCCCCCAACCAGGGCTGGACGGGGGCATGGACGAGCCGGGCAGCTGCCCAGGGCGCCAACTGATGGTGGACACCTGATGACAGCTATAAGGGGCACGCGGCGTCCTTTACAGCTGCCATGCGCCCAGCTCCCGCAGCACTAGTCTGCCCACATTCCCGCGGTGCCGGCCAGCAACGTCCTTTCCCCCACGGCCGCGAGGCCCTACACACCAGGGCTGGACGGGGGCATGGACGAGCCGGGCAGCTGCCCAGGGCGCCAACTGATGGTGGACACCTGATGACAGCTATAAGGGGCACGCGGCGTCCTTTACAGCTGCCATGCGCCCAGCTCCCGCAGCACTAGTCTGCCCACATTCCCGCGGTGCCGGCCAGCAACGTCCTTTCCCCCACGGCCGCGAGGCCCTACACGGCCCGGCGCGTGCACCAGCAGCGACAGCCAGGCCGGACTGGGCTGTGCTTGCACCGTGCTGCCGGCCAGCAACGCCCTTTCCCCACGGCTGCAGGGCCCTACACGGCCCAGCGCGCACGCCAGCAGTGACAGCCAGACTGGACTGGGCCGCGCTTGCGCCGTGCACCCCAGGGACAGACCCCAGCCTGTGTGCCAGGGGCTGTAGCCAGGCCACGCATGCGCCGTGCGCCTCGGGGGTGGACCTGCGCACCCTAGGGGGGTGGGCCTGCTCCCCGCAGATAGGCCCACGCATGTGCTGTGCGCCCGGGGGTGGTGCTGCGCACCCGTGCCTGGGGTGCCAGAATACCTCAGGCTGGCCCTGCCCCCAAGGGTCAGTCCTGGGACCAATTCTATTCAACTTATTCATAAATGATCTAGAGAAAGGGGTAAGCAGTGAGATAGTAAAGTTTGTGGATGATACTAAACTGTTTAAGATAGTCAAGACAGAAGCAGACTGTGAAGAACTTCAGAAAGATCTCACCAAACTGAGTGATTGGGAAACAAAATGGCAAATGGTGTCAAGTATCAGAGGGGTAGCCGTGTTAGTCTGAATCTGCAAAAGCGACGAGGAGTCCTGTGGCACCTTATAGACTAACTGAAGTGTAGGAGCATAAGCTTTCGTGGGCAAAGACCCACTTCGTCAGATGCATGCATGCATCTTTGCCCACGAAAGCTTATGCTCCTACACTTCAGTTAGTCTATAAGGTGCCACAGGACTCCTCGTCGCAAAATGGCAAATGAATTTAATGTGGATAAGTTTAAAGTAATGCACATCGGGAAAAATAACCCCAACTATACGTACAGTATGATGGGGGCTAATTTGGCTACAACAAATCAGGAAAGAGAACTTGGCGTTATTGTGGATAGTCCTCTGAAAACTTCCACACAGTATGCAGTGGCGGTCAAAAAGGCAAATAGGATGTTTGGAATTTTTAAGAAAGGGATAGAAAATACGATACAGAATATTTTACTGCCCCTGTATAAAACTATGGTATGCCCACATCTTGAATACTGTGTACAGATGTGGTCTCCTCACCTCAAAAAAGATATTTTGGCCTTAGAAAGGGTTCAGAAAAAGGCAACTAAAATGATTAGGGGTTTGGAACGGGTCCCATATGAAGAGAGGTTAAAGTGACTGGGACTTTTCACTTTAGAAAAGAGGAGACTAAGGGGGGATATGATAGAGGTATATAAAATCATGAGTGGTGTGGAGAGGGTGAATAAAGAAAAGTTATTTATTAGTTCCCTAAATAGAAGAACTAGAGGACACCAAATGAAGTTAATGGGTAGCAAGTTTAAAACAAATAAAAGGAAGTTCTTCTTCACACAGCGTATAGTCAACCTGTGGAACTCCTTACCAGAGGAGGCTGTGAAGGTTAGGACTATAACAGAGTTGAAAGAGAAGCTAGATAATTTCATGGAGGTTAGGTCCATAAAAGGCTATTAGCCTGAGGGTAGAAATGGTGTCTCTGGCCTCTGTTTGTCAGAGGCTGGAGAAGGATGGCAAAACACTTGATCATTGTCTTCGGTTTACCTCTTCTAGGGCACCTGGTGCTGGCCACTGTCAGCAGACAGGCTACTGGGCTAGATGGACCTTTGGTCTGACCCCGTATGGCCATTCTTATGTTTTCAAAAGAACCACGTCTAGACTACTTTTTTTTTTTGAAAAAACTCTTCCGAAAACAGGATCAGAAGAATATATGCCAATTTGTGACAAATTTGCATATCTTCTTTCGAAAGCCGTGAATAGTCTAGACGTGCCCTTAGATCAAGAAGGCGCAGTGCCAGATGTTACCAGCTCGTTCTCTGTGCCAACTCTACTTGTCAAAACCGGCAGAAGTGAATGCACTGGTGAGGCACATTTCTTAGCCGAAGACCCTGAACTTGGGGAAGAGGTTTTCCGCTTTTGAGCCCTGATAGACTTTGAGTGAATGGTGGACAGTGTAGAAACTGATGTCTGAAGCTTTGTCAAATAAGAGCAGGCGGAGCTACATCTCTTTATTTTAGTGTGCCCTTGCAGTCAGCTTACAGCAATGCGGGCATTTCTGAGGTACACGTGCCTTTCGGAAGCACCTAATACAAGAAGAGTGCCTATCAGAAGCAGGCTTGGGCTTGTGACAAGTGTTGCATATTTTTGAAGCCAGTGAAACTGTCATCATGAGGGGATGCTCTTCTCAGTCTGCCCCCACTTTTTTTCTCTCTTTTTTGTCAACCTGCAGTCGTAAAACGGCCCGTAGCCACATTGTTTGCTTTTTTTTTTAACTGAACAACAAACTTCTTAACACTAAACTGGCTATAAACAACTAAACTACTTAACTAATTTTTTTGATTAGACCAGTTGAGGAGAATAGCCAGAATAGGTTTATCCATTCTGGTCTCACACCTTGGATAGCAGTGGAGGCATAGCATGAGGGGACAGAGGTATTAAAAGGTTCCACCATTTACACTAGACCAGATGGCATATCCCATAAGTGGGAATATACAAAGGACACTTGAATAACAATTGCTGCTCTTGTTAACAAGTGAAATTCTGGACAGTTTTGTTATAGATGAAGATGCTATACAAATGATCAAATTCTGTCTTAATTTATAATGATAAAAATGAAGCCAATAAATTTGAGCTAATGTAAGTGAGGAAAGACTCTAAACCTTCATGTTTGATAATCAGGCCTGGAAAAATACGTATATATCACCAAGAATCGTAAAAATTTTCCTAGTAATTGTTGTAACAAAAAATTAAAACTCACTTCACAAAAATTATACTTTGGTTAAAAATTTCCTTCAATGAAAAGTGGTTTTCTATAGTAAAACAGCTTTTGTAAAATTCACCATATGCCAAGTTAAAACTTGTACAACAGGAAGCAGGAAAAAATAATGTTACTCATTTTTGCGATATAGTAATAATTTTATTTTATACATTCTGACACCTAGCTTTTCTATTGCACCCAGTTCTTGCACTGCAGCATATAGATCTCTCTTTATATCAAATTAGTGTTTTAACGTTATGACATATATTTTTTGAACCTGATTCTTTTTCTCAGTTATGCTGATTTTACACTAGTATAACCCTATTGGAATCAAAGAAGTTATTCCTGACTTACACTCACATAGCAAGTGAAAAAATCAGGACCAAACCTATATTACCATTCAAATCTCTGATGAATTTGGCTCTGCAATTTCCATGTTGTTTATACTCAAACACATGTGTTCCCAAACTGGGGGGCATGCCCCATGTCCCTCTGGGGGCGTGTGAAGAAATTCCAGGGGGGCACTAGACAACCCAGTTCCCTCCCTCCCCTCTGATCAATCCCACCCCAAGTTTGCTGCTATTGGGAGGGGGGCATGAGGGTTTCTCAAAAATCAAAAAGGGGGCATGATTCCAAAAAGTTTGGGAACCACTGCTCAAACAGATCTGAATCTGGTATCAAATGCACAATAAGTGAAAAAAAGTATTAATTATAGTTAAAAAAAGTTAAATTCTATTATTAGACTACCTCACTATTAAAAATGTCCTCATCGCTGAAGTAGCATTTTGCAACATGAAGGAGAGCTTCTTCAGGCCAACTGTCATACCAATCCACTGTAGAGCAATTAACAATGGCAGGATATGTCCGACAAAGTTGACGGAAGTTAATTCCTGCAGGACTTGTTGCCAAAACAATATGAAGCTTGCTATGCACTCTCTGAAATAAAGGTTTAATTTTGGGATGGGGAATTAGTTACATGTCTCTTTTCCCAAACTAGTTTGCTGGCTGGAATTATTTTATTAAAAATTATCTTCAGATTACCAGATTTTCACTAATATAATGCTCTCTTAAGTGACAATACACTCTACTAATATATGATCAACAATGTAAACATTTACCTATTCATTTTTAAGTCATGCATTTAAGACTATCACAGTACAAATATTAAAATCACAGTACAAATATTAAAATAACAATGTACCTAAAGAAAAGTGAATTTCCTAGCTCATAACTTCCTTGATCTTGCACTCCCTACACATGTAGTTTGTAGAGTAAACAGGAGTTACACATTCATATTGACAGTAGAATCAGACCTCAATTGTGGTGGAAGTTTGTTCACCTACTGCTATATCCAATACCCCATGTTCATTAGTTTAATATGGCTATATTTTGAATAAAGTATGCCTTGTGATGTATCATTTGAAAGCTCTAATCTGTTGAATATCATTGTCCTCTTAAGATGTGTGTAACAATACAGTGTGTAAAACTATGATTTTTTAATTGTATGATTGTTACTGGAATGAGAGGTGTTGATACATGAAGATATTGGGAAGACAACGCCTGGCCTTTAGAACATTCTATGAGAGATATCAACAGGCAGTTGGTTTTACGCCAGTCCTGTGTCCTATCGATGTAAAAAGCAAACGCTCGACGCACGTTGAGGGTAAGTTGGGATGCCTCCTGGAGTGAAGCATGTGGTTTGGGGTAGAAGGTGGGAAGTATAATTGGCTTGTTAATATGAAACTCAAAGGAGATTTTAGATATAAATGCCGGATGAGGGCGTAGTGACACCGAGTCTGCAGTGAAGCTTGTATACCAGTGGTCACCAACCTTTTTCAGCCCAAGATCACTTTTTGAATTTACAGGCAACCCAAGATCTACTCTAAGATAATGTTGTAGATAAACAGTCTATTTTTAAATTATGCTATATATAAAATGAAAATCACGTGTTTATAGTTATAAATTAAGTGGTCTGTTTTTAATTTATGCTATTTAAATCTAAAATGAAGTATTTATAATTATACATTTTGTCCTCTGCTATGTAAATCTAAAATCAAGTATTTATAATGATATATTTTGTCGTCTATTCACCAAGTCTCAGTGTGACACCTGTGATTGAACATTATTTGCCAGTGCCTTGAAGTCTGGGTTGTAGTTTGAGATTGCTAGTCATATACAGTCATTCAGATGGGCATCTGTGAGGTGGGTGCGATACTTGGACTTGATTATCTTCATTTGGGAGAATGCTGTCTTACAGAGGTGTGTGGAGCCAAAGTAAGCCTTCACTTTGAAAGCACAAGATGATAGAAGTAGGCACTTTTCTCAGTTTACAAGTCTCCAAAAATCACTGTCCCTTGCTCTGACTTTCAGCTCAATATCATTTTGCATAGTAATTATCTCTGTATCAAGTCCACTACTTCGTAAACGAAACACCTGATGAAATTTGGTAGCTAAGCTGCCAATGTCTTCTACTTGAAGGAATGGATTTGAGACAAATATTACAATTGGTTCCATCACATCTAATTCCTGAAATCACCTGTTGAATCCCTCTGCTTATTTCTTCAAGTGTGCACAGAAGTTTTCTGGGTGGAACCATTTTTCTTTCTCATTGATTTCTTCTAGTATTCTTTCCGTACTTGGGAAGTGATGCAGTGTTTTATTCTTTAATTGGGAGGACTACAGACCTGTGGTGCTGCTCGGCAAATTAAGAGTGCTGATGTAAAATTTGTTGTGCACAGATAAACATTTCAAAGGGAGCTGACTAATGGAGCCCCTGTGATCAACTAGTAGATTGCGATGGTTATATATAGTGGTGTTGACATAAGAGCTACAAATTCACTGAATCTGAGGGCTGATGTTACCGCTAGTAAGAATATCAGCTTGAGTGTCAACATGTTGAGTGGAATGGTGGCCAAATGTTCAAAGGGGAGACGTGTCAGGGTATCTAGTACCAAGTCCAGGTTCCAGAGTGGGGGTGGAGGTGGGGGTTTGAGAGACCTTTTAGGAACCTTTTTGTGGTTGGATGGGCAAACACTGAGGTGCTGTCTATAGAATGGTGGAAGGCTGTAATCGTCGCTAGATGCACTTTTAGTGACGCAATCAACAGGCCCATTTGCTTCAGATAGAGAATGTAATTGAAAATTTGGTGTAGCAATGAACTAAAGGGGTTAATATGGTTCTTGGAGCACTAGGTAGCAAATCTGCACCATTTTGCCATGTAAGTTGCTCAGGTAGCTTTCCTTCTACTGTGAATCAGTATCTCTTTGACCTGGTCCGAGCATAAGTCCTTGGAGTTGTTAAACCAGCTAGGAGCCAGGCAGTCAGGTGTAGCAGCTCAGGTGTCCTGGTTGATGGACCTCGGAGTCCTGGTTGATTATAGAATGACTATGAGCCGCCATTGTGACATGGCCGTGAAAAAGGCTAATACGGTCTTGGGATGTATTAGGCGAGGTATTTCCAGTAGGGAAAAGGAGGTGTTAGTGCCATTATACAAGGCAATGGTGAGACCCCATTTGGAATACTGTGTGCAGTTCTGGTCTCCCATGTTTAAGAAGGATGAATTCAAACTGGAACAGGTACAAAGAAGGGCCACTAGGATGATCCGAGGAATGGAAAACCTGTCTTATGAAAGGAGACTCAAGGAGCGTGGCTTGTTTACCTTAACCAAAAGAAGGCCGAGGGGGGACATAATTGCCCTCTTTAAATATATTAGAGGGATAAATACCAGGGAGGGAGAGGAATTATTTAACCTTAATACCAATGTGGACACAAGAACAAATGGCTATAAGTTGGCTAGTAGGAAGTTTAGACTTGAGATTAGACGAAGGTTTCTAACCATTAGAGGAGTGAGGTTCTGGAACGGCCTTCCAAGGGAAGTAGTGGGGGCAAAAGATCTATCTAGTTTCAAGATTAAACTAGATGGGTTTATGAAGGGGATGGTTTGATGAGATAACATGATCTTGGTAACTAATTGACCATTCATTATCAGTGGGAAATAGGTCAATGGAGGGATGATAGGAGTTACTAGAGAGAACTTTCTGGGTGTCTGGCTGATGAGTCTTGCCCACATGCTCAGGGTTCAGCTCATTGCCATATTTGGGGTCGGGAAGGAATTTTCCTCCAGGGTATATTGGCAGAGGCCCTGGAGGTTTTTCGCCTTCCTCTGTAGCATGGGGTACAGATCACAGCTGGATGATTCTCTGCATCTTGGGGTCTTCAAAGTATTTGAAGGCTTCAATATCTGAGATATAGGTGAGAGGATTATTCTAGGAGGGATGGGTGAGATTCTGTGGCCTGCATTGTGCAGGGGGTCAGACTAGATGATCATAATGGTCCCTTCTGACCTTAAAGTCTATGAGGTGGAAGAGAAAGCCCTTGTCTTGAGTGAGTAGACCTGGCAGAAGAGGAAAGATGTATGGAGGTTTCAGAGACATTTGATGGAGGAACGGGTACCATGGCTATGAGAATGACTTGGGCTCCGTTGGCATTTTTCTTCTCCAGGACTCTGGTTATTAGTACAACTGGAAGGAAAGCATAGAGTAGGGAATTCCCCCATTGGAGCAGAAAGGCATCCCCCAAAGACCCCTGTCCAATGCCGGCTCTGGAGCAGTAGCAGTGACATTTTGCATTCTTGCCTGTGGCGAACAGGCACAGGCCTGTCTATTAGGTCTATTAATGGGAATCCCCAATGTTGGAAGACGCACTGGAGAGCATTGATACGTATCTCCCACGCATAGTTGTGTGGGAAATGTCTGCTCAGCAAGTCCATGATCAATTTGTTGGTGTCAGGTAAGTAAGACACTACTAATGTGACCTTATGGAAGATGCACCAGCTCTACAGACGGACAGCCTCTGTGTAGAGTGATTGGGACCGTGTACCGCCTTGGCGATTTATGTAATACATAGTTGCAGTATTGTCGGTGAGTATTCTGATGGTTGTACTGGATATGTAGTCCTGGAAGAGTGTGCAAGCATTGCTGACTGCTCTGAGTTCAAGAAGGTTTATATGAAGGGCCGCTTCTATTGTGGACCATTAGCCCTGAACCATCATGTCATCCTTATGGGCACCCGAGCCAGTAAGGGAGACATCCATAGTTATCTGCCTTGATGGCTGGTGCTGGTGGAATGGTACGCCTGCCAGGATGTTGTGTGGTTTGGTCCACCATATGAGAGATGTACGGACGTGGGCTGGGAAGGTGAGGGGGTACTACTTTGTGGACATTGTGTCTCATCGAGACTTATACTGTCACCATCCAGTATTGGAGGCAGCGAAAATGTAGTCTCGCATGACTGACTATGAAGGTAGTAGCGGCCATATGACCCAATACCTGTAAACAGGTGAGTACCGAAACAGTGGGTGCATGGAGTAGGATGTCCAATAGGTCTTGCGTCATCTGAAACCATTCTACCGGTAAGTAGGCTCGTGCTAAAGGAGAGTATAGATGGGCACCTATGAAGTTCAAATTTTGAGATGGTTCAATTGTCGACTTCTATTGGTTTATGATCAACCCAAGGGAGTCGAAGGTCTGCCTCGCTATTGTGACTATATGACTCGTTTCCTCGTACGATTGTCCCTTTATGAGGCAATCGACTAGACACAGAAAAATTATAACTCCCTTCCGATGCAGATGGGCTGCCACTACCACCAGGGTTTTCAAGAATATCTTAGGGGAGGATGCGAGTCCAAAGGGTAGTACCTGGTACTGCAAATGCTTGTTGGTGACTGAAATGAAGGAATCATCTGTGTGCTGGATGAATGGCGATATGGAAATAAGCATTCTGAAGGTCAAGGGCCATAAACCAGTCTCAGTTGTCTAAAGAAGGGATTATAGTAGCTAAGGTGACCATCTTGAACCGTTGTTTTCAGAGGTGTCAATTGAGCTTGAGGAGGTCGAGTGTTGGTCTCCAACCTCCTGTTTTCTTCTGGGTGAGGAAATAATAAGAATAAAACCCTCTTCCTGTGAGCTCTGCTGGCACCCTCTCTATGGCCCTGATGGAAAAGAGGCAATGGACCTCTTGTTTTAATAAATCCTCATGAGAAGGGTCCCTGAAGAGGATCAGGGTGGGTGGGATAGGTGGAGGAAGAGAGAGGAAGGGAATGGTGAGGCCTGTTGACACAATTTCCAAGACCCAATGGTCTGAGGTAATATTGGCCCAATGGAGATAGAATGGCCTCAGGCGGTGATGAAAGATACGAGACCCTTGCTGTTCTGGGTCAAAAATGTGCAATGTCTGCATGCCCTCAACCAAGGAGTCAAATTTACTGCTTAGCAGCTGTCTGAGGAGAGGTGCGGGTGGTCTGAGTGCGTCTTCATTGCGAACGTTGTTTCATACATGGCTGATCAAAGGGATGGTGTTGTTGTTGTTGCTGGAAGTATGGTTGATCATATCTTCTCTGTGGGGTATAACGTTTGCGCCTATATGGGGACGTGTATACCCTAGCATGTGCAATGTGGTTCGGGAGTCCTTTCCCGAATGAAGAATCTCATCTGTCTTCTCTGTGAAGAAGCTTTTGCTTTTCGACGGGAGGTCTTCCACTTTGCCCTGGAGTTCTTTTGGGACTCCAGCAGACACCAGCCATGATGTCCTTCTCATGGCAATAGCTGTGGCCATGGACCGGGCCACTGTCTGTGATGTTGAGGGCCATCTGGAGACCGGCTCTCACAGAGGAATACCCTCTTGTATGATCACCTTTAAGAGTGGCCTTTTGGACTCTGTGAGATGTTGCATCAAGTTTGTCAGCTTTGTATAATTGTCAAAGTTTTGGTTTGACAAGAGAGCAGCATAGTTTGAGATCCCAAGTAGCAATGTGGCTGAGGAGTATACCTTCCTACCAAATATGTCCAGTTTCTTGCTCTCTCTGTCGGCTGATGTATTTCTATATCGCGGGATCTTGGCCCTCTGTTGTGCTGCATCCATGACCAGGGAATTCGGTTGCAGATGCTTAAATACAAATTCCAGACCCTTGGATGGTACAAAGTATTTCTTGTCAGAATGTTTACTGGTCAGTGGGGTGGAAGCGGGGGTTGCCAGATTTCTTCCACAGACTTCATGATTTCCTCATTGATTGGCAGCGCAGTTCTTGCCCGATGTTGAGGGTGCACATTTTTAAGAAGGTGGTATTGTTTGCCCTGTACTTCTGTCAACTGAACCTCTTGGCTCTCCTGCAACCTGTTTAAACAATTCTTGGAATTGCTTGAGGTCATCCAATGGTGACATATCCTCTGGGATTACTGCATCATCAGGAGATGAAGACAAGAGGTCAGTAGGAAAAGTGTCGGGTTGGCAGTCTTCTGCCTCCGACAGCTGACCTTCCTCAGGCTCTGACTGGTGTGACTGCTGTGTTGGGCTTTGAGGGGGCATGGCTGGAAAGTGTTGCTCCCATGTTGTGGTTGGGAGAGAGTGGTATTTAGGCTATCGATGGCAGCACGTAGATTGCCTGCGCGAGTACGACTGATGATGATAATAATACGATCTAGAGTAGTGATAGTAGTAATGATCCAATTGTGCCGGTGAGGACTGCCTGGAGGACATTGCAATCCTGAATCGCCTGTGATGTATCGACCATGGAGATAGCATCGGAGAATGAGAGTAACTCAATGATGGTGGTGGAGAAGGAGAGAACTGCCTTCCATAATAATTTGTGTCTCTCTGTGGTGTTGAGAGGTATGGAGATGGAGACCTCTGTTGATGAGAATATGGGCATGCCATCTGGTGCTCAAGATACACGCTTGGCACCGGAAAGCATGGTGTGGCGGGTGTTACTGATGGTGCTGGAAAGACCGTAGGTGAGGGAGAACAAGAAAAGCAGCTTGTATCAGTTTTTGCAGCTGCTTTCTTTGGTGCTGCCACCATGTTGGTGTGCTTCAGTGCCAATGGACGTGGTGCTGGTTCTGAAGCCGGCAGTGCCACTTGTGTCAGTGCTGATGTCAGCATGGGGTTACATATAGTTGAGGCCTCAGGTGCCAATACCGATCTGGGTGCCGTTGGTGCCTTCCCCGTCAGTACCACGATTGGTTCCTTTTTCTGTTTGGCACTTGTAGCTGCCTTTGTAGTGCTGGAGACGGTGCCGGATGTTCCTAGCTTGTCGCCCGTGCTCACTCTGCTGACTGGAGTGGCTGGCAGGGAGTATGTTGGGGACTCCCTTATCCTCTTCGTTGGGGCTATCCCTGGAAAAGAGACTCTCCGTTTCTGAGGTGCTGCTGGGTCTGAGGCAGCTGCCGGTGAGGTATTTGTGGGCTGAAGTGCCTTATCAAACAGGATTATCCTAAGGCACGCTTCCCTGTCTCTGTAGGCCCTGGCCGTGAGTTTTGAGGAATGCATGCATTTCTGCGGCACATGAGCCTCACCCAAACAGCGAACACATTACGCATGCCCGTCTGAGGCTAGCATTGCTTCATGGCAGATGTTGCATTTTTTGAAGCCTAGTGAGCCAGGCATTTTGGATGTACTTTTTCTTTCTCCTTTTTTTTTAAACAGCCTAAGCCAATGAATGGAGTCCAACTGTGGGGGTTTTTTGTTTGTTTGTTTTTTAAAAGAATGAACGATTTGAAATAAGTATTAACAAGACTACAGCTAGAACTAACTATTTTCAGGAATCTACAACTAAAGCTAATTATATAACTAAATCTTTCTGACAGGATGGGAGAGAGGCAGAGCTCCATCTGCAACTGAGGATGGTTGAAAGGAACTGGAAGGAGCCGGACCACGTGCAACAGGAACAGGGCACAAACAGCACGAGACGTTAATCACGTATGCGCAGTGTGGCTGACTATAGCTCTTGAAAATCTCTAATCTGTGGCACTGGGATGAGCCCGACACTGAGGGTGTATCTAAACTACAGAGTTTTGTCGACAAAAGTGGACTTTTGTTGACAAAACTATACCTGCATCTACACTACCATAACATAACGTCGACAGAACTCGGCAGTTTTGTTGACAGCGGTAAACCTCATTATACGAGGAATAACGCCTTTTGTCGACAGAGTTCTGTCGACAGAAGGCATTATTGCATCTACATTATCCTTTGCATCTACGGCTTGCTTTGTCGACAGAACTGGATGTAGTCTAGACACTCTCTGTTGACAAAAGCCTGTAGTCTAGATGTACCCCTACAGTGGAGCACCTATGGGGACACTACTCGAAGAAGAAACAAGGGTTAAATATCATGCAAAACATACATTTTAACATTCAAAATTACCACTATTTAAAAATTCTATGTAGTATTATAGACATGTGGCAATTTTTTCAAAACATTGAAGTGATTAAGCTCCATTTTCAAAAATGATTTAAGTGCCTCACTAACTTTAGACTTAGGTATTTTTGAAAAGGTCTTATATACAGCTATCTACTCTTACTCACGCAAAATGGCAAAACTATAGTTTAATGAGAACATGGTCTAACCCTTTGACATTTTGATAAAAAACAAGTTTCAAATCCTCTAAAATTTATTATTTTAAATAGTACCTGCAGGAAGAATGAAAGAATATCTTCTCTGCTATTAGAGCAGTTAGCCTTTTCAGCAACAGCTGTAAGCTTCACAACAATATCTTCCAACTCTTCCTTATCGAACAAATCAAACACTTCTCCAGAATTCATAATGCAGCTCAAATGTTCTAAAAAAGAATCCTAGGGCAAAGAAAAGCAATTAGTAATCCTTGTAAAACTTGTTACTTTTTTTTTTTACAAAACTAATATATTATAACAACAATTTTTATTGCTGAAGATTTGTCATAGATACTGTAATTTTTCTGTTTGTTTGTGATTTTGCACCTATGATTTTAATAAAGGTGAGTTTCCCAAACAGTGGATTGGAAACCAGTAGGTTGCAAGGAAATTCTAAATGAGTCACTTGCTAGGTGTGCTAATGAGGCTTAGGAGGAGTTAGAAAGTGAGTCTAACCCATGTTTTCCCACAGGCTGGGACTATATCCCATCTCCAAGTGATGTGACCTGGTGCAAAGAGTTACTGTACTGCTCACATTTGACTTGGCTGCCAAACCAAGTCTGAGCGGCATTTTCAGGGTCACAGGACTACTCACTCACATATGGCTCAGCCACATTTTTGTCATGACAGAGGAGTGGCCATGACAATCCTGAGTGGTGCTATGATTGTGTGGGTCTGGTCACAATGCCTGGTCTGGTGAATTAGGCCCAGGTCTTTGAGACAAAAACCACACTATAGGGTGAGTACAGCACAGACTCCATCTTCCTCTGACCAAGGTCAGTATTTCCCCTCAATGCTGGGCCAGGTTTAGATTTAAAGCACCCTCTGCCATTTCCATATTTTCTGTTATTGTTTTTCCTTCTTCATTAAGTAATGGTCCTACCCTGTTCTTGGTCTTCATCTTACTTCTAATACATTTGTAGACAGGGCTGACTTATCCATTAGGCACAGTAGGCACAGTGCCTAGAGCCCACGATACTTTTAGAGGCCCACAAAAATGTTTTAATTTCTTTTAAAATCAGAAGAAGCTTAGTGCCTGTAAACTGTATGGCCAATATGGCCTCGGCCATAGGCGCCAACTGAATGATGGCAGATAGGAGGCTCACTTAGCCTCAGTGCAGTTTATTTCTTGCAATAAGCAAGATACATACGTCGACTGCGTTGGATTATATTCGTCTTTATACCAACGCAGTCGTAAACTATAATTTTTAATTTTTTTTTTTGGAGGAAGGGGTCCATGAAGGCAAAAGTGCCTAGGGTCCACACAAGTCCTAATGCGGCCCTGTTTGTAGAATGTTTTCTTGTTACCTTTTATATCTCTAGCTAGTATGAGCTCCTTTTGTGCCTTCGCCTTTCTAATTTTGCCCCTATATATTTGTGTTATTCATTTAGATTGCTCCTTGTAATTTGACCCAGTTTCCACTTTTGTAGGACTCCTTTTTGATTTTCAGATCAATTTCTTGGTTAAGCCAAGGGGGTCTCTTGCCATACTTTTCTATGAAGTGGAATACTTTGCTCTTATGCCTTTAATAATGTATCTTTCAAAAACTGCCAACTTCTTCAATTGTTTTTCCTCTTAGCCTTGCTTCCCATGGGAACTTTCCTACCGATTCCCTGAATTTGCTAATGTCTGCCTCCTTGAAATCCATTGTCTATATTTTGCTGTTCTCTCTCCTACCAGTCCTTAGAATAATGAATTCTATAATTTCATGATCTTTTTCACCCAAGCTGCCTTCCATTTTCAAATTCTCAACTAGTTCCTCCCTATTTGTTAAAATCAATTCTAGAACAGCCCCCCTCTTAGAAACTTTCTCCATGTTCTGAAATAAAAAAAATGTCTCCAAAACAGTCTGAGACCTTGGTGGATAATATATGCCCTGTGTGAAAAAGCTCCTATGAAAATTTGATGGGTCCTGCACTTCCTGGCGGATTTTCTTGCCTCCGAGATTCACAGCAACACGCAGTTTTAGGCACCACGCCCAGGGCTTTAATTTGCTGTTTGATTAAAAGAGATCCACATTGGCTAGTGTATGGTAAAACAGAGAATAAACTCCACAGTCCTTTTCCCTGAGTGGAAATGGAGAGGTGGGTGTTGGGGGGAACCTGGGCCCATCCTCTACTCCAGGTTCCAACCTAGGGCCCTGTGATAGTAGCTGCTCATGAAAGTCCCTGACACCTGCTAGAATATAACTCCAAGATACC